CTGCTATTTAGAAAGGTGCTTTAAATAGCAAGAGAACTCATTTTAAAATTTCTTGATTTTTGTCCTTTCCAAAAAGGACAAAAATTCCATTGAGGGAGAACATACATCATTTTTTAAAAGCTGGGGTCCAGGGAATTAACTGTAGTTGAATAAGGTCATTGATAAACTATTTTCCATGACTGTTGGTGGGTATGACAAAAAGGTATTTGAGCTTCAGTTGCAACAAGGAAGGTTCCAGTTGGACATTGGGAGAATTTTTGTAACAATGGGTCTATTGAAGCATTGGAATAGATTGCCTAAGGAGACTCTGGATTCTTCATCATTGGAAGTCTTTTGAGGACAGGTCAGATGGACCTCTGCTGTTCATGGTACACGTTTAACTGATCCTACCTTGAGGTAGGAGAGAGGATGAGGTTGATCTCTTCAGCCTAACTTCCTATGATCGTAGGAGTTTGTTTTACATGGGAGATGAACAGGATGAGGGAAGAGCTGCATATGTGTGCAAGGAAAAGAAGGATGGAACAATTCACGGAAGTACTTTTATCTAATGCGTGTATTATGAATGCCTCAGGGTCATGTTTCTTTTCTTGCTCCCTGCTCATTAAAAGAGGAAAAAAGGAGGGAGAAAGGGAAAATCTTTCTCTGCTGAACAGAGAATTACACAGTGTTTTATATCCTGACAGACTCGACTAATGCCAGGTCTAACATCACAATGAAAAATTAATTAGAAGCTTTTGCTGGTATAGTAATGCCACCTGGAGAGTGATATTTATGTGGTATTTTTATTCTGGCAAAAGCATTAACGTAGGTGGAATCATACCAGCAAAGAGTGCTTTTTGTCAGGAGAGTTAATTTTGCTTGTGGAACTGGCACAGCTTTACTGGCAAAAACTATTCCTTTGCACTCCAAGCTCCTTGTATTGAAAGATTTATCAGAGCAATTACGCTTCAGAAAGTGGTTGTTTTAAAATCCACTGCGGTTTTGTTTATTTGTGTGGGGGGAAGACAACAAATGCTTTTTGTATTTGTTTAATTTGATTATTTTAAAGCATACCATTTGACAAATGCTGGGTTTGGGGTTTCATGCAGGAGCTTTATAATAGAAGAGAGGAGCTTTATGCCATGTGAGGATCTACTTTATGGCAGGATGTCCTTCAAAGGATTCAATCCAGAAATTGAGGTACCATTTAAATGTTCTGTTTTGAGGTGGTCTTGCATTAGGATTGAGGCCCTGGGGGATGGGGATTTGAGCGTTCACACTGCATGCTGTTTGGCCTTTGCATCACCTTCCATAAATCCTCCAATGTATGGGAAATCCCCAGTTCAAACCAAAATGTTGATCAATGCAGCATCTAGTAAATAGAAGCTTTTTATCTCCTTGTGTTGATGGTCAGTAATTGCATGACTCCTGCAGATTTTCCCTCCCTCAAGTGAGGAAAATTGTCCCACATGCTGCTCACCAAAACAATAGCTCGCTTTTCCTCTTGCCATTTAATTTAGAGTCCAGTCCCACAAACATTCAAACCTATTGATATTCAGCACTTGTTTGTGTAAGGGCTTAAAGTTCCGAAGTAAAAATTCTGGGCAAGAGAGTCTTTAATTTCTTTTTGGCATGATTCATGCTGATAGAACTACACTGAGATAGTAATAAAAATATTATCACTGAACTGAAGTAAGAGGGTGAAGGTGTAAAGACTAAGAGGTAAGCAAAAGGCTAGGCAAGGTCATTTACTCGGGGATTCTTTCAGTTATTTTGAACTTGCTCTCGCTGTGACTGGGCACATTATTACTTCAGGTTTTTTACTAGTAGTTTATTGTAAATCCTTGCAGATATTTTTCCTTCTTAACAAAACCGTTTCAAGGACTATGTGCTAACATCACAATGAAAAATTAATTATGATCTAATTCTCTGATCTCCTGAAGACGTCTGGCATGCCCTTGAGGATGTTTGAACAGTACAATTCACTGAAAACCCTGTCTCTGTGTTGCCTCTTTACCCAAAGGCAAACTCTAAGCTCAGCTTAGCAACAGGCTGGCATGTTGCCCTTTCCTCATGAGTTTTTTTAACAGTATGCTCTAGCCTGACCAGGAACAGCAAGTAATTTTTAAATTTGATTCTTACCTTTTATGCATTTCTCCTACCAGTGAATTTCAGCATAGTTGCCATTGCGTCAGGGTTACATGATTAAGCTATTTCTTACTTCATTTTTCAGAAGTTAATGATCCAAATGAACTCTAGGTGCAAGGAAGAAGAAGTTGAAGTGGATGATAAAATGGAGGCTGATGTGTCAGATGAAGAAATGGCCAGAAGGTAAGTTATATTTTATGACATAATCAATATTGGCTAGGAATATGATATGTTACTGCATTGCGTGTGGGAAAATAAACCCAAAAAGCAAACAAATGAAACAAACAAAAAAGCCAACAGATACAGTATTTTACAGAAGCAATTTTCCAGGAATTCTGGTATGTATTCAGTGGAATCTCCATCACTTTGGGGGGTAAAATATCTTATAAGGATTTCTGCCCTTTGATATCCAGGTATTCCATGCTAATTCCTTCCTTGTTCCAGATTGTTGACAAACCCAAACTATCAGAATGAATTATAATGTAATAAGCAATCATGTAGTACTTGTGCTTTTTAAGTTTCTGATGACCAGCTTTTTTTACACCACTTAAATTGTTGATTAGATTTATGATTTGCTCTGTTGACGTTTTTTCTGATTTTAGTAAAAGGTGGAAATTTTTTTATTATCTTTACAGATACGAAACATTAGTGGGAACAATAGGAAAGAAATTCTTGAGAAAAAGAGACCAGCGTGTACTCCAGGATGAAGACGAAGATGGGAATAGTAACACAAGACCTAGCAAAAAAGCTAAGAAAAAGTTCTTAAAACCTCAGGATTAATGTCAGCTGCACAACTGGACAACTGGAGCTAATAGACATGTTACCTACCTTATAGAGTACCACGAACTGGAGTTTTTGTTGTTTAATGTAAAGGAGAGATTTGTAAATCTGAGTCTGTTCTCATTGAAAGTTCTACCATCCACAGGACAAACATTTTTCAAAGTGGATGTGTATATAATGGATGTTATACATCCTTTCCTCGCTCAGCAGCTTTTAATGTGTGGGGCACTAATCCCATCAGGCTTTTTAAATGTTACGCGTAACTAGATCAAGTGTCACATGCAGTTGAGAGCAACATTATTTACAATTTATGATAACAACTGAAAGAAGTATTTGGAGTAAAGATGAGCTTTGTCCAATGCAGTAAGGCAATTCAGCTTTCACTGTTCTTTTAATTACGAAAATGGAAAACCTTTGCTATCTTTAAATTGAAAAAAGTCAGCAGAAACATGTATCTCTTTTTTTTTTTACTGTTCTAGAAGTAGATGGGAAGAGAGAGATAAAATGAATTTTATTGCATTTTATTTTTTATAAAGCTTATTTAAAAATAGAGGGGTTTGTAGTAAAACTTTTTTTAATAGAGCAATCCAAATATTGGGCAACGTTTACAGTTTGACACTTGAGCAGATTGTGAGTCTTAATTTCTGGCTTCCAAAAGAAGTTTGCTAATCTTGTCTTTTTCAGCAAAAAAAGCCCAATCTTATAATTATCTAGGTCTTGTCATAAAAGCGTAATAACAGCTTCAGAAACATATTTGAAAGCTGAATAAAAACTGTTTTATTTGTAGTTAATGATTGTGGTTTAGCTAGTTAATGTAAAAAATGATGCTTAATACAACCTGATACAAGAAGTGATCCTGTTTGGTGCTGGCCACAGATGTCCCCAAATATTAGTTGACTGCACTGACTTTTTCTGTTCGGCGTGCAGCGAAGCCATCTGAAGAAATGTTGGGACGGAAACATGATGCCCTTTGGTCAGTCAGTGTTCTGGACCTATTGAAAAGTGTAAATGTGGTCTTGTCTAAAATCATAGCAGTTCCCTGTATCCTGCCTTTCAACAAGAAATATTTCTTTTTATTACTTCATTCCCCCAGCTAGATGTTCAAGTTACTCATCCTTAATGCTCACTCTATGAAGAAAGAGGAATTTGTTAATTGAAGCAAGTAGCAGCCATTCTGTCATGGACACAAGAGGCTCTTTTTTTTTCTTTTTTTAATACCTCAGTGAAGCAAGACAGGAAAGTCAATTATATAAAGAAGGAGACTGTGTGTCTGCTGTATTTTGCATGTGATACATGAACTATAATCCATATATCAAGAGCACCTCATTAGATATTCAAGATGGATCACACATGGAAAGAGAAATATACTTTTAACCTAGTAAGGGGACCTCATACAGGTGGAAAGTCTGTGATTCATGATCTGAGAGAGTTTTTCAGAGCTAATTAAATGCTACTGGTTCAATTACTTAAAACCTGATCATATATTATTGCTAGCTGAAAAGAAGTTAATGATGGCAAGACATTTTTCTTCCCATGGAAGACGTGACCTGAGCTAAGAAATGATTTATTGTTGGTTGTCACAAGAAAAACTCGGAATATATCCCATTATTCTTTTTTGCTTATTAGTAGGAAGATGATTCCCCTCTATCTGAACACATTTGTTCAATGGAGAGAGAATTTCTGCCTAGCTGTGCTGGATAGTTGGGGGGAAAGTGTGTTCTAATCAACCACCAGCGACCAGGAGGTGTCACTGTGATTGCACATCCTGAGAGACAGCAGATTGGAGAAGGTTCCAGTGGTGTCATGTAAAGGAGTTTTTGGGTAATTTTGGTAATGATTACTGGTGCAGATGAACTCCGTGTGAAGTCTTTCTTTGCCGAGGCTCTATGCAGAGAGCTCTCTTGCATTGCAGTGTTCTGTTCAGTCCAACAGGGGTTAATTTTGTACAGTTAAAGAGCATTCTGCCATACCTTGGTCCTTAATTTCTTGTCATTTCCCAAGGGATGGCTGGACATGTGAGTGGCACCGTACATGGGTAAGAGCGTGAGTGAACGCTAAACCTTCCTAGAAAATCCATTATTTTGGAATTTGAGAGAGGGAAGGGTAGTTCTTCTCTTTCCTAAACATGCCCAACACCAGCTGTGAAGAGAAGATAGATTTTGATTTATTGTCTTCAAGTCTGGGTGCTCTGCTCTTCGCATTTAGCTGGTGGCTAGGTGAGCTATTGAAATGCTACAGTAAGACCAACTCCTAATTTTTAGCACAATCTCTATTCATGGGGAGTTCATAAAATGCACCTTTAAAAGCACCATTCATAGAGCATTACTGTGAGCAAGACAAAACTGAAAATCACCCCTGCGTGACTTTTTAAATGTACTTTAAGTGCCCAGAGTTACAAGCAGGCATTTTATGATGGGATCTTTTGAAATACCGTCTATATTTCCAGCCTTATAAATACATCTATATATGTATGTATTCTAAGTCTAGCTCTAGCTTCCTAGCCAGGGTAGAAACATTCTGCTGTATAAAATCTGTGCTTGAACTACTCTTGACAGAGATGTAAGTGTAGCGGTAAAATATTCATAACCTGCATTAATTCAAGCTTTCTTGGCTCTGACACAGTCTCAAATGCAGATGCATTTTCATGTGCAGCTGCCTAAGCTAGAGAACTTTCCCACGTGGTCATGAAAAGCATTTCTTCTTTGAGAACAAAAGCAAGTTGGGCAAGTAGTAAGCATTTTTGTTAAAGAAAATGGCTACCTGCAAAATTTTATGGGTAAAGCGTTACCAGGTACCAGAAGCGTTTGTGTCTGTTACACTAAGGTACCCATCAAAGCGAACAAAGCAAAGTGTGCGTTGCAGTTCGTGCTCGCTGACAGCTCGCAGCGTTAAGTTTAAGCATGTCTCTTGTCAGGTGAAGTTTTGTCCCTCCCTTTGACAGGCTGACAGTGTTTATTTCTGTAATAACTGCTGATGTTGGAAACATGGAAGTATTGAAGAACTTCCTCTTTCTTGCTGATGTTTCTTGTTTTGTTGCTTTTATTCTGCTTAGTGTTGGATCGTAAAAAGTCCAGGACCAGAGTCCAACTGAAGCAAGCCATCCTGTGTCCTCCCTTTAGTAATGCATGAGCTGATTAAACTTTGATTCTTCGGGGAGGGGAGAGGATGTTCAGTGGTGCCGTGGAGTTTGAACTGTGTTTCTTGTGTTACGTGTCTTGCTCTGTAATAAGACACTCCATTATACAGTTCTACAATCACGGATGGCTGTCCTTGCCATTGGGCATTGCGCGTGTGTGTAATGGGCAGCTGGGCTGGGATTCTGGGACTTCATCCAGCATTCAGACTTAGAAAGAAATTGTCTTGGCTTTCTGTTAATTGGAATAGCGTACTTTTAAATTGTATTTGGAATTAGACAGGTCCTGGTTGGGGGCTTATAAGCGTTTGTTCTGCTTCATTTCAACAACAGCCAACAACTAAAACCGCACAATAGCTTGGGTTCTCGTTAGACCTTTCTCAGAGGGAGTGTTCATAAAGCATAGTGGCGGTGAAGGATGTCAAACATCCTGTGTTTCTCTTCTGCATGTGAACACAAGTTTCTCTGAGCATTCATGCTTTAAGGACTTGGTTGTTTTGTTTCTTTTCAGTCTGGGAGAGCATCTCCCTTCTACACTAATGCCTTGCTAGTGGAACCCCAGCTTGAGGCCTCTGGGTTTGTTTGGTTTTGTTTGTTTTTACACTGTTCTCATCTCAGACCCTTGAGGCATTTTGGGTCTGGCATTCACACCTCAACAACCTGCTTTCGTCAGCTTTTGGGGAGCTTTAGATAAACTGTGAAATTGTTGTTCAGCTGCACGTGTTGACACTTCTTCATGTGATTTGATGTTGCACAGTGAGGACCTGGTTATAGCTGTCACATCAAGAGGAAAAATCCCGCTCAGAGAGTCATTATCAACAGATGGAGTCAGGGAGATGGTTGAAGCTTCCGTCGTGGGCAGCCTTGTAGATTTTTAGTAACTAAATAGTAGAAGGGGGTATCTGGGTTGAGTCCCAACATTACAGGCCCAGTTAAAAATGCTGATATGAGTCCACAGACCTCTACCCAAGAAACCCTTGCACACCATCACCTGAGCAATTACCTGGGAGCAACAGTAGGAACGTCTCTTAGAGAAGTATGGAGGCAAAATAACCATGGCTGTCTTCAAGACAAGAGCCAGCAGCACCAGAAAACAAATGTAGTTCACTGCATGGAGATATATGGTTTGGTGACCTGGGTGAATGCAGATGGGAATTTCTGTCAGCTAGAATGGAAGTGGTGAGTGTTTTGAAGCTCATAATGTTCCTTCGGGTCTCAGGGAACACCTCAGTTTGATCAATCATTTAGAAAGCGGTAAAAGCCCTTAATGGGACCTTAATATGAGAGAATGATGTGAACACACATTAGAGAACAAAGTCCTTAGTTCCATTATTTATAGAAAAAATGAGTTCCCACCTCATTAAGATCTTTCAGTCTCCCCTGTCGCCTCCTGCTTGGCCCTTGGTTCCTCGTCCCCGTGCAAGTATGTGCACCCAGGACATCGGCTGCCACCACGGCCAGTCAGCAGGGAAGAGCTGGCACACACCGTGGCCAGCCCAGAGCTGTTGGCTGCCGAGCCCAGCAGAGTAGGGGACTACTCGGCCTCCTCTTCAGTCATCGTCTTCTTCCTCAGCCTACAAGCTCTTTTTCCAGGAACCTGTAGGAACTTACCATCTCCAACACTGCTGCCAAATTTGTTCAGTATTGGCCTGTTGGGTTCACAAAGTTTGTGGTGGGGAGGGGTGGCCAGCCGACCGATAGCGTGCTGGAACAGACCTCGTTTACTTCGCAAATGGGGTGTGTGCAGGGTGTGGCGGTTGCGGGGGGGGGGGGCTGTATTTACAGCAACTCTTTATGGTTTTTTATTTTCCTTTATTTTCAGGTGTACACTTACAGCATTTGTGAGGTTTATGATTGGATGATGTCTTTGAGCAAAAAGATGAACTATCAGTGGGAGGAATCAACATTTGACCAATACTCAGCATTATCATAGATTGGGGAGAAAGGGTGTTTTTCAGTGTTACTGCTATTTTTTTGCTGCGTTTGAGAATGTTTCCCCTTTTTCAGTGGTTTCTTGGTTTGGGCTTTTGGAAAAAAAAAAATAATTAAAAAATGGGGAAATGTGATTGTGAAATAATTCTAAAGACAGGGTTTCATTTAGATTTGGTTGGCTCCTTGATTTTTTGCACTTTGATACAGATGAACTCACTTGTGATGCAAAAGCCCCTGTGCTAAGTGGTACTCGTTCAGGATAGCTGTATGGACTCCCATATTTGCTATACACAAAGAGGGCAAAAGTAAGGGTATAGTGGGGTTAGTTTCATTGTTCTACCTTTGTTATACAAATAACTTGCAATGCTAAAACTACAATATTTCCACCCCTTTTGGGACAGAAGTAAATCTAAGCCAGCTGAGATGTTTAAGCACCATTCACCCTTTATAAGATGATTACTTGTCAGAAGCAAAGCTTGCAGGTCTCTCCTTAGAGCCCATCAGCCACAATAATGCTGCAATACATACAATTTTCATCACTGGAAAAATACATACATACCAAAAATTACTTCGGGCAGTTTACTGCAGTAATGGCAAAAGGGATGCACATGATGACAATTTTCATTTTGTACTGTTTTGTCTAAGGGTGATGGTGAAAGAATTATGCCTCCTAATGCCCCTTTCAAAGATGACATTGTTTTACTTATATTAAAAGTAGAGAAATGAGATGAGCTGCAAGTGGTTAGATCTTGTAAAAAATGGAGTTTTAAATGTGTACTTCATTGTCTAAATGCTCACAGATGACTTTTCTCCCTATAATAACTGTAGAAAATGTGTTGGCAGCATATCACAATTAATAATCCATACTCCTATTTATGTGCTATAGGCACTCCAAAATTCCCCAGACATATTTATTACCCAAGTTTATAACCAGATTCAAATCAGATCCTACATTTGTGCCAAAAATTGAACTGCAGTCATCTCACAGCAAATAATTCTATCTACCTGACAGAAGAGTCTTAAATTCCTGATTTTTCCCGGAGTGAAATTCACTTTAATCTGGTATTAATGTATTTTCCCTTCGATCGCCTGCAAAAGAATCCCACAATCTTACAGTAGTGATTGTGCAGACTGTGGAAGGTACTGTACATACGTAGCATTATTGTAGGTTTTTCTGGTCATCTAGATTGTGTAAAATCCTTTGACGTTAATTGGGACAAGTTTTCTCTCTAGGGTTATGTTGAATTTCTCTTTGAGGGTTTTTTCCACCTCTTCATCTTCAAGAGTTACGAATTCCACCAGATCCATATTTTCCTTGTAGTTGTATGTGGTCTCGGTGAGCGTCCACCCAATCAGCGCTCGAAAGCCGTCAGTGGTCTGCAAGGTGCAGATGGACTTCTTTGTAAAGAGGGAATCGGGAGACGTCTGAAGGTACGTGCACTGGGAACGGAAATCTTCCACTGTCCGTGGCTCGAGGCTGAACATGTAAACTTTCCGACACTCTTTTTTCTCCAGAAGATCAGAATTAGAGAAATTTTGATTGGGGATGTATTGTTTCCGTCTCATTTTCTCGAGGTACCAGATGGCATTTTTTTCTGTGAAGCGAAAGACGCCGGGAGCCTGGGGCTGGTCTTTCCCCGACACAAGCTCCATCGGTTGCCACATCTGATAGGATACACCAAAGCCTCCGTCAACGATATAGGCTTTGCCATCGATAACTACCTTTACGAGGAGATGGGTCATGATGGTGGCGTATGCGTTTTGATGTGGATTGAACACGTATGCTCCCAGAAAGCTGGCGTCGTACCCCAGGCGTTTCAGGACCCAGCCCAACAGCTGGTTGTTTTCCATGCACCAGCCACCCCGCTTCTTCCGCACGATCTTGTTATAAACGTGCTCTAACTCCAAAGTAATTTTCTCCCCGCAATGGATGCTGAGGTTTTCAAAGGGAACAGCACGGATGTGGTGCTGGAATATATCGGTTAGTGTTTCCAAATCTTGTTTTTCAAGGGAACCTTTATAGCCAGTTCTCGCAAAATACTCTTCAAGGTTCATGTCACCTGTAAAGGAAGGAATTTGTGATTTGGTGGTGTTTCTTTACATCAGTGATTTATGATGCTGTGAAAAACTGCCCAGGCTGCTGCTAGCAAAGATGCTTTAATCTACGGAACCTCATCAGAGCAGTTTTTAAAGGTAACAAGTATTCATATCAAATGGTTCCCAGAGCAAAGAAGAGCAGTGCACGTGAGGGTTTGCTTTTCGTCTTAAAGTCATCCCGATGGCAAAGAGCCGATGCAATTTCAGCTTGATATGCTGTGGCTGCGAAATGGGGATTTGCTGTATTTGCATTGTAACAGCGGGGTTAAGAAGAAATGTGAGATCACGCTAGGGAGTATTCAGGAGGGTTCATCAAAACTGGTCTAAATCCACAGTTGAGTGAAAGGAGTGTCAGAGGGGGAAGCAGTATTGTCTGCCAGGTGGAGGGAGGGTAATTTGAGCCAGGATTCACGTGCTCTTTTCATGAGTCTGCCACTGATCTACGTGACGGTAAATGAATTGCTCGTTCGGTATACGTCGCTCTTTCACCACTTATAAAAAGTGAAAATGATACTCCCTGCACATTTTGTAAAGTGTCAAGTTTTATTCAGATAATTATAACTGAAAAAAACCTCTGACCTTTGCAAGAGTCGCAGACCGCTGAGTCTCTTGTCTGCTCTGAGTGTTGCACAGAGTCATTTTGGTGTTGGAATAATGAATCTGAACGGAGACAAGTGACCTAAAATACTCAGAGCTCATCTCTATTCCCCACGCCCTCACAGGGTGCCCTGAAAATGGACAGGGGCTGCGTTACAGCTCTCTAGTCCCAGCCTTTCTCAAAACTCACTTTATTCCTTCCAGAGGAGACGTAACTGAGAACTGCTGAAGCCTCGTACAGCGCATCCCTGGTCTGTCCTGCCTCCAGCGGTGCCCACCTCCTGCCCTGCCTTGGTAGGACTCCTCATGAGCAAGATTGCTGGATGAGGAACTACTCAACTTATTTTCTACCTTCTAATACTGTGGAAAGTCACACGCAGTCATCTGACTTTGGCAACGGCCCGTCACAGTCTGCTGGCCACCGTTACGAGCTGGATGCTCTGTAGGCATCTGATAGATATTGTTTGTAAAAAGACACTGTAGATCATCTGCTTGGGCATGGAGCTGGGCACAAAACGCTTTGAAGGCTTGAACCCTTGCAAAGAAAGCACTAAGCCTTTCAGCAGTCCAGAGTTACTGCAAATATTTAGCTTCTTGACAACCCACAAAGCTGCTTGGAAATCTTTTGTGCATACAGTAAGCTGCAGTTTAGACACTTAATATTAGTGACTCGGGGAGACTATTGTATTCAGATAAATTCAGCAGTGAACCGTTGAATGTTTACTGCAAACTAGAATTTCTCAAGACAGTTTTCAGTGACAGATTCGTGACGTGCATACGCACGTATAGAAGCAGCTGTCCAAAGTAAATGGAGAGCCCCATCAAAAACTGCACGTTATCTTCTACAGAAAGGAATTTAGCTTCCAGTGATATTTAAGTGTATTGTTGGGGGACATTCTCAATGTAATATTTGTTAAATAGAACATAAGACTACTGGTACTTTTTTCTTTTGATTTGTAAGAATTCGAGTCTATCCAATCATACCGGCTCAAATGGTGAATGCAAAATAGCTCACACCAGCAGAAAGCTGGTTCTCAAGTTTATATTATTTGTAATTTCCCTCTGCAGCTCCATAATATGATTGATCAGCATTAGATCTTGACTGTAGGAGATTAAAGCTACAGTTCTTCTGAATTGTGAGCAGATCAGATGAAAAGATAGATGTGGAAAGGTAGTCCCACAAATGTGGCTATGATTTATGCATAGAAAAAACATCAGCAGAACTATTTCCAAATGTGCAAATGAAGGTGTTCATGCAAAAATATTCCTTACCGGGACTATACGCCCTATCAGCAATTCCACTGTTAAAATATATTATCTGTCCACTTTTGTCCTAATTTGTCAGCGTATGGACTTTTTGGACAGTTTGTAATTTCATTGTTTTAAGTTGGTTTTAAAGGACTGTAATTTTATTCCTATAAAGCAGAATCTATCGATTATTAGATTGCTTTTTTGCCTTTGCAATATTTTTAAATAAAGTTAAAAATCTAAAATAATAACTTCCAACAAGAGGTTGTAGTTCTAAATTTTATCTAACATTGTATCTAAACAAAATCATCTCTCTCGTAGTCAAGGGAATCTCCTCCCGAGGAGGAGAAAGACAGAAGAATTGAAATTGCAGTATCATTGTTTTGCCTTCTTTAAAAGCCCGTGTTTAGCAGGCAATTTTTTAGCTCTATATCCACACATTTTTATAACATTTTTCCTAAAGAGAATACTGCTTTTGTTATTGTCCGTGACCTTTACCATCATAAATAAACCAAGTTTGTTGTTTTTTAAGAAAATCAACTTACCTCTTAAAATAGCCTTATTTATTTATTGATGTATTCAGCTTCTGGGTTGTTTATTACTGGGGCAGCAGTCAGTAAAGCCAGGAGTGGATATGAATTGCAAGGGTTGGCTTCCTCTTTAAGGTCTGCTGGCCCTCTCTCTTGAATCTTAAATGCGGGGAAGGTGCAGAGTCCACCCAAGATGAATGCACATTTTTGGACTTCACTGATCCATGAGCAAATTAAACTTTGTTTCTTCTCTATTAGTAGATGTTTCTGTTTTCCCCTGGTTAAGACCAGACTGAACTTGTTTTCCATGTAAAATAATTAGAGTAGACAGTCGCAAATGACTCTGTAATTTTTTTAAATTAAATTATTATTTAGCAGTATTAAAATTAAATAATATAAAAATTTTGTGGTGGAGGATAGTCATCTGCATCCTTGTGGGTGCACTGAATTGCTGAGGTATTACAGGCTGTGTTTTCCCAGGCTCCGCAGATGCACAAAATGACGCTTCTTTGCCCACAAAGGAACTTTTTCAATCTGTTCAAACCTTCCACTGCAGCAGACAGTTATTTTGGAGCGGCCACACGAAACAAATATCGTGACAAATATTGATGTGCACAAAGTAATGCATTTCCTCTCTAAAACTTGACCTTCTGCATCTTCAAAGTGTCTTCTCTCCCTGTCAAGCATGTGTCCTCTTGATTTCATGGAGGTGGAAAGTCGGAGGTCCCTTTTGGGAAGTCAAAGAGCCATTAGACTGCATCTGGGAAAGCACCTGAGTTTTAGGCACATCAGGTGCCCCATGAGTCTGTGTGGTTGACTAATATCAGCATCAGCCTTTTCCTTGCCCGAGGACCGATGCTCTTCTGTCGCCCTCTTTCATGACACATCCTGTGCAGCATCTGCCACAGGTATCATAAAGGTAAAAGGCTTTTGTGTTACATATAACACGCTGTGAAACCACACCAGTGCTATGTCCTAACTTCCCGGTCTTTTCTTGCGCATCTGCAGTATTACTTATTTTCTCTGCTTTTGTGCAGAATACTGTTTGTAATAAATATGAAGAGTTTTATCTATTATACTGCCGTGCCCGCTTGACATCTCAGGAAGGTGAGGTCCCAAAAATTTAGATTATAGTTTGCAAAGGTTGATCTAACTTTGATTGTTTCCATTTTTGGCACCAAAAGCCTCATTTTTAAAAACCATTGAATCGTCTCAGTTCTATTGATGTTGTTTCGATGTCAGAGACACAGAAGAATCAGACTCGGAAAAACTGGACACTCAAAATTAGAGAGCTTTGGGGATTTTCTGAAGTGCCCTCACATAAATAGTTCTCTTTAAGTCAATTTCTGGTAAGGGAATAGGACTCAAGTCTTTCAACTTATTTCTCCATAAGCTAATCAGCACCTAATAGTGGCTTGTTTTGAGAAAGTCTTAACCTTTCTTTTTTTTATGAGGTCTTTGGAAGCCAAATTCAGCTCAACTTTCTATTTCAGACTGTTAAAGGAAGTGAATAATTTGTAAAACTCTGTTGAGAAGAAGATTTAAAATAATACCTAAACAGGTTAGAGGTCTTTTGTGTAAAAGGGTAACACAGCTTCTCCTTCTGTATCATTTTGGTCTCTTTTGCCGCAAAATATATCTGAAATAAAATGAGATCCAGAGAGGTGGAACAAAATGTCATGGAGTCAAAAAGCAATTTCCATATGAGCAAATTAGAGGTAGGAAGATGTCTCAGTTTCTAAAGAAGGAGAAGCTCAAGAAAAAACATGCAATCAGTATATGCAATTAATTAGCAATGTACTTGAATTTACCAAGCTTTGTGTTCATCTCACTAGCTCAACCTAAGAATCACATTAATGCTGTTAATGTTAATTTTAGAACTTTTTATATTGGGTATTTAAAGACCCATCTAGCACAGCATTAGAATTAGATTGTGTCCACTAAATTAGGTGGCAAGCCACGAACATTTACTGGCACGAGTTTGTTCTCCAGCACTATATTGAATTTGTCTTTCAGTGTCTTCTCAACCTCTTCATCTGTAAGACTTGTGATCTGCACCAGGTCCACGTCCTCCATGTAGTTGTATTTCACCTTAGTGAAGGTCCATCCAACTAAGGCATAAAGCCCTTCAGTGGTCTGGAGACTGCAGATTGACTTCTTCTGAAGTATGTTCTCTGGAGACACTTGTAGGTACATGTTTAGCTCCTGAAAGTCATTTATATGTCGTGGTTCGAGAGTGAATGTGTATATTTTTCTGATATTCCCCAGTTCTGGAGTATCAGTGAAAGGAGCACTTTCACTTTGCTCAGGAATATAATGCTTCCTTTTGACTTTCTCGAAGTACCAAGTGCCATTGTCTTCCATGAAGCGGAAGATGCCGGGGATCTGCGGTTGGTCCTTCCCAGAAATCAGCATCAAAGGCTGCCACGCCTGGTAGGCACCGCCAAAACCAGCATCTACTATGTAGGAATTTCCCTTGATCACCACCTTCAGTAGGATGTGATTTATCTCAGCAGTGTATGCCCTCTCTGCTGGTTTATAACTATTTCCTCCAAGAATACAGACATCATATCCTAATTCTTGCAAGGCCCAAAATAAAAGGTGGTTGCTTTCCAGACACCATCCACCACGTTTCTTTCTCACAATCTTATTGTAAGTAGACTGTAAATCCAGTTCGATGGTCTCCCCGCAATGCATGCTGAGGTTTTCAAAAGGAATTGCCCGGATGTGGTGCTGGAAGATGACTGTTAAGGTTTGCAAGTCTGCATCTTTATGGGACTCATTGTAAGAAATTCTTGTGAAATACTCTTGAATGTTCATTTTGCCTGTGTGAGCAGAAAAATAGCCAGTTACTGTTGTGCGGCTGTCAAGGGGTTCGCTCCTATTTCTGTAGCACAGGTTAACCAGCCTGCAAATGTAGCCTGCACCGTTTTATTGAGGATTTGAAAGAAACCTGTGCCCTTGACAGAAGATGACTGCAGGCTAGACTTGCCCATGTCATCTGTATTTCTTACAAAGGAGATGAGGATAGGAGCAGGTGACAATAGTGCTTTCTCTGTCTCAGATGTTGCCTTCAAGCCAGGCGGGTGTCTTTCCTGTGGGAAGACAAAGCACGCGGCTCAACAGAATTTCTGTCCCTGGATGAGGGTCCCACGTGAATAAAAAAAATTATAAACTGACAAACAACAGGTTTGCAGAAAAGCTGCTAGACCGTACCGGCGCAAAAGTCACAGCAATTTCTTACTGTTTCTTTTACCACAACAGGTAAGAAATTCTTTATTTATCCCACAGGTAATTTAACTGGAGGGTTTTACATTCACGGCTTCAGCTAACTGGGATTAACGTCTCGGTGTGTCACCATTTTAGACAGGCTTCCACGTGAAGCAGATTGTTGTTTTCTTAATCTCTTTAGCTTCCCTGTGGAGTTCAGACGCGGCTTTGACCCTGGCCGTTGAAAGGAAGGAACTGTTAATTTTTCTACCCTAAGTGTCAGAGGAATTGATAGTTACTAAGAATACATTCAAGGCTTTTGAAAATCACACCTCAAGCACATAGGTGGCAATACCCCCGCCCCAGCAGGTGAGCACATCAGATGACCTAATCTCTAGACTTTAACCCCAATTTTGATACCAGCAGCACAACTCACTTGACTTAGCTGTATTGCTCCTGATCTGCACTGGTACCAGGATTCAGACTGGCTGATGCAAAGCCACAGGAAAATGTAATAAAATAGAGGACTATCCCAATAAGGGCATAAGACAAAAACATTTTCACTTCAAAAGGACCCAAACAGGCTACATGAAAAAACAGTAATGTGTCTTTGATACTGCATTTTATAGTTTTTATCCATCCCTTTTTTAGGACAAGGGCACTCATCTCTGGCAGGATCTCCTTGGAAACGCTGGTGGTAGAAAGCCATTCCCTCCCCAACAGACAGTGCATGTGTGCACTGGCCAGCGCATCCTGTGGTCCTCTGCCTCATTTTTCTTTCTATTCCCACTTTGAGCCATTTTGCATGGCCAGATAGAAACATCTTTTCCCTGTGACGGTGTCGAGCTGAACCTCTGTGACCAGGAGGGGCCCAAGCGAGTCCATTAGCCTGGTGAGTATAATACGCTTGAAATTTGGTTTTGAGCAAAAACCAATCAGTCTCTGCTCTGGGCCAGCAGCAGAAGACTTGATGCCCTCTCTGTAACCTGTCTCCTGGGTCTGGGTGTCCCCATCACCCCAGCAAGAGTGCAGTGTGTAACCAGCTCCGCTCGTCCAGCCATGAGCAACCTCCCCATCGAGAGCCTCCACGGGGTGCTGGCAGTGAGGCTTTGGGAGAATGTATTTTGGGAAATTTGCAGCCCGTGCCTCAGTTTCCCCAGCTGCCCCTTCTCTGGCCTCATCAGTTTGAAGCCTGTATAGTAGAGACAGCCTCGTGGGGGCTGAGAAAATGGGCTCTGATCTCAATGGATACTGAGAGAGGTTTAAGTGTACTAAAGCTGCAGTACAGAATCAGCGGCGTTAGGGAGCCTTCACAGACCCCAGAGTTCACTCCCTCCCCTTCCCGGGGGCAGCTTTCCTTCCTGGCACAGCCGTTCTCACTGCGCTAGCGATGGGGCTGCAGCAGCAAGCAAGCCCTCGCCTGGGGGATGCTTTGCGTTCCAAAACTGGGGTGCCAAATATCTTCAGCCTCAGGCCAGACCTCAGCTTTGTTTGCTTTTCCCCTGCAGCGGCCGCGCTTCGTTCAGCATTCACGCATGTCTGCAGGAGCAGTGTGGTGGGTAGCGAGATTCAGACGTCAGTTCTGCCTATCTGCAAGCGTCCCTGGGGATCACTGTGCCCTTTCGTAATTAGGCGGAATAGTTCTCTGCTAAAATTCATGAGGGGCTTCCAAGGTTGGATCCTCTTGCACATGCCTATACCATTTCTTTGATTTTTAAGCTACATTGCAAGTCGGGAGGTGGGGTTTTCATACACATTGGCTCAACATAAAGGGGTTAGTTTAAACCTCGAGCACTTGATCTTTGTACTTGGACAACGCAACGCCCTTGCAATGCAACGCCTGCCGTCAGCCCTGGGCTTGCTGTGATTTATACTTCGCTAATATGCCTACAGCGTAAAGCACATGGTACGCAGACATACTGGGGTGGCCTTTTCCAAACGGACTGACCCACAGCTGCAGGATGAAGTTAAAGATCAGACGCTCAGGCACTTACCTCCCAGCCAGCGAGCTCGGGCTTTCCGCTTGGGTTTGCTCCAAAGTTCCCAGGAAGGGTTGGACTGGGAAGTGCTGCTCTTAAAGGTCCAGGCTGCCTTCACTGCCTAGCAGGGATGGCACTATCCTCCAGCAGAGCAGGAAAAGACAGGAAAGAGTTTCTTCTTTTAGAGTATTTTTTATATTCTGATGGTTTTATTTGTTTATTTGTATTGACATATGTGTAGAAAGCGCTGTGATGCAATGCATTGTGTTGGGTGCTATACAGGGAGCCTGAAAATGATCTGGTCCCGAAATTGCTTACAATATTGAGTAAGTTTAAACCTCCGATGTTAGTGATTGAGAACCGAAGCCCTCCAGGAACACAAAGGAGAAATACAGTATGGGGAGTGCCAGCAACTTGTGCCGGTGGTTATAACCGCATTCCCAACCCTGGAGGACACATGGGTGCTTCAGTCTCTGGGGCACCCTGATGGTCGAGCCCATGCTGAAGCAGCAAAGCAATAGTGCAAATTTTGACACAGATTTTACATGGTTGGCACTCATGTGGCCTGGATCCCTGTAGGAAGCGACTTATGGTGGAAAGATAGTAATCCAAGCCTAGCAGTCACTGATTCATTGCTGGGGGATGACAACTGTTGAATTAATCACAGCGGACTGAGCTATTCTTCGTGGCTGATACCAGACACCCAAAGCCCCAAGGTCAGCTTTGCAAAGTCATTTAGCTGTCTGAATCGCCCTGGGTTCAGAGAGAAGCCCCATCCTTGGGCAGCGAGGGTCCTGCTCCCGGAGAGCGCTGCGCTCCCTGAGCCCGCTACGCCTTTAAGGATGTGCCTCCGAAGCAAGTGATAAGGGAAAAGCAGACTAGTGCGATCTGAGATGAAGAGCCTCTTTTTTATCCCCTTCCAGCAGAGACCTGCATTCTATTGCTCAGCAATAAAATCTGCTTCTGTGGGTGTGCTGAGCAGGAGGGCCAGAAGCGCTGAGCTGTGCCACGAAGCGGGCAGCAGCCAGAGCAGCAGCCGGGGCACACGCTCGGGGGGATGAGTCAGCTGAAAGGAAAGCGGTTTTTTTCTGTTACTGTTTGCCCTTCACATGCTGAATCTCTGGGCCAATGGACGTAACACCCTGCTCCTTTCCCCGAGCCTATGGAACAGCCCAAAGCACGAGAAGCACTCACGCACCGGGAGGGGAAGAGGCACAGCCCTTTCTAGGTGTTTCCCGTGTTTGTTCCCACAAATGATGGAGCTCGTTGGCTCTGCCATGGCCCTTCTCCCACCCCACACCTCTGTGAGGCCTGGCTGGGCTTCTACCTCCCTCCCGATGCTCTGCCCCAGCCGCCAGGCTGCTGCAAGGCTAAACCCACCCAGTTTAGCTCCTTCAGCTCTTCCACTAACGTGGGGACCAAGGAAGGATACAGCTTGCAAACAAGCCAGATCCTGGGGCAGTTTCTTCTGACCATCTGCGTTCCAAACTGCAGGTCCACACTATAAGAAGCCCCTTTTTCTTCTACAAGACACTAGAGGGGCAGTCGTTAACATTTAATTTCCCTATAGGATGGGGGAGCCTCATGCACTATAAGGGGTTATTGCACACCTGCAGCCAAACACATACAGATGTGTTTGACTCTGGGAAAACAGGGGTTTGGGAAACTCACTGTGTCTCTAGGAAATACGTTGTGAACCTGCAGAATAGATTTTTATTAACTATAGATTGCTACTTATAGAAAGCTGCACATAGTGCATAACAAATAAAAAAAGGGTCAGTGAGTTACTGCATTTTTAAAAGCCTTAGCTGCAAAATATTAGCACATGCAAATAATCAGAACAACTGCAGTGATTAATGAAATTCTGTTACTTTGGGGATACATGCTGTAATCTGGGGGAAAAAAACAGCTGAATATTACTTCACAATTCTTGATTTTTTTATTTAATTGTAAGTCACATATAATTTACTTAATTATAAGTGCATAGTTGTAATACTTCCATGATTTGTACATAAAGGAACATCAAGCATCATCTCAAAGGGCAAAGTGATTACATTTGAGTAATTTCTCATACTAAAAATCTTAGCCTTTAGGTATCTGATTAAGATTCATCGTTTCTCCTTATATCAATGTAATTAGTATCACTGCAAACACACCCTCAGTAGAACAGATATGTTTCAGAAGAATAATTCTGCGCATGTGTTTGAGTTCTGCCATGATAATTAATGTGGGATAACACTTGGGGTCGAATCTTGCAAGAGGAACGTGTATTCCCAGCAGTCCGCTGCTGGGTGGGAGCAAACAAAATGGATGGGAGATGCTTTCAGTTCAGAGAAATACTGCTGTTTGGTTACGTCGCTGAGAGAAGAGGAGTCATGTAAAGTCTGAAACAAGACAGAATTGTCCGCTAATATTTCTCATCATCAGTTTTAGGCCATAAATAGCCCGTCCGTCAGTGTTGGCACAATGCGGCACAGGCATGGGACTGTCCGACTGCCGCCTGAGAGGGTGTTGTGACTGCAAGAGCAAAAAGGACAGCCTTATGGCTTAACTGTAGCAAACTTGGCACTGGATGTCTTTGTTTTTCTGGCTATTAAATTCCAAAAAGAATATGGTATTCATTTAAGAGGTGGGTATGATTTTCCCCAGGTGGCAGCGCAAAGTAATAAAGAAAGAGACATACAGCTCCATCGCTCTGCCCTGCTACTCTGGGTGTACCTGGAAAAGCTTTTAAGAGATGAAAGGAGTAGGGAACGGGCAGAGTCTGCTTCCAGCTAAGCACAAACAGAAGGGCAGCGATTTGATTGAGATAGGAGGAAATTATTTGTACCTAAACCAAAAAGAGATGCAGGAGCAGTTGTGAAAATCAATTTATTTTCCAGATTCATGCTAATATGTTCTGCCTTACACTGGTGTAGATGGAAAGAGAAAGCTTAACCTTTAGCTGCTTGTCAGAAATAAGGGGAAGGATTGCATGTAATGCCACTGGATTGAATTATAATTCAGGCAGTGAGTTAAAACAGAGACAACCTGCTTGTATTGATGGGTACAAATTTCTTGTCTAGTGTTACACTGAATTTCTCTTTCAGTGTTTTCTCCATTTCTTCATCTGCAAGGATTCTGATTTCCACCAGATCCATATTATCCTTATAATTGTACTTTATCTCAGTGAGTTTCCACCCCACCAGAGCCCGGACGCCGTCGGGGGTCTGCAGGCTACACATAGACTTTGTCACGAACAGCGAGTCCGGCGCCGTCTGCAGGTGGGTGTTGCTGGCTCTGAACTCTTCGATGTCTCGCGGCTGAAGGGTAAAGAGATAAACCCGACGGCAAACTTCTTTTTCCACGTTATGGGAGGTGGAAACGCTTTGGTTGGGAACCCACTGCTTCCTTTTCACCTTCTCGAGGTACCAGACCCCGCTCTCCTCCAGGAAGCGGAAGACCCCAGGGATCTGCGGCTGGTCTGTCCCCGAAACCAGCTCCATCGGCTGCCATATCTGGTAGGTCATCCCAAACCCACCATCCACGATGTAGGATTTGCCATCAAGCACCACTTTTAGCAGCAGATGATCGATTTCATCTGCATATGCATCGTATTCCGGGACATAAACATTTGATCCCAGGAGGGTGACATCATAGCCAAGGGTTTTCAGGACCCAAGATAAAAGGTGGTTGTTTTCCATGCACCAGCCCCCGCGTTTCTTCCTCACTATCTTGTTGTATGTCGCTTCCAGGTCCAGCTCGATGCTTTCCCCGCAGTGGATGCTGAGGTTTTCAAAAGGGACCGCTCGGATGTGGTGCTGGAATATGTCTGTCAAGGTAGCCAGGTCCGGCTTATCGTAGGAGCCCCGGTAAGAAATTCTGGCAAAATACTCCTTGATGTCCATGCTGCCTCTGAAAGAAGGGTGAAAAAAAAACCAATAGGTTGTGTCAGAAGTGACAGAAGGATCTTCCCTGTTCCTTATAATGGGGCACTCATCAGTATGGGCAGCCTGCTCGGAAGAGGAGCGGGATTTGACTAATGGCCCTATCAAAGGCGGCTGAGTGGGAGTATTAGCGCTGAGGGAAGCCAATGGGACACTGCTGATGAGCACAAATGTTATTTTTAATTGTTTCTTTTACAGCTGTGACGAGAGGCTCCAGCTGTGCTAAGCACATTTCAGCAGAGAGTTCCTGCCCAGCAAAGCTACAAATCTCCGTAGGAAGGAACAAAAGCAGTAGCAGCACTGTTTCCCCGCTAGAAATTATAGGAACAGAGACTCACCAGATCTGAACTGCTTTACTCGTGGTTTGACTCAGCAAAGCAGAAGCAGAAAAAAAAAACCCTCCCACTCTTGCAGAACAATCCAGAGCCTCCTCCGCAACCAAATCTGAAATAAATCTGCCCTGCCGCGGTATTTCCTTCATTATTTGGGCAGCCTGGCACGAGCTGGTCTCACCTGTTCCTGCTCTCCGTGCTGGCAGCAGCAGACGTGACCTGGAGTGCAGAAAGGGGGTTTTTTTTAGGGCAGAAAAGGCCACGGGAGGTTTTTTTCTGCTTCTGCTGCGAGCCACCTCTCCGCCGCACCGCTTAACTCCCCAGCTCTGCTAATCACAGCCCTGTGCCAGCAGCGGGAGGAAATCGAGGTTTGGGCCAAAACTACAAGTTTTCAGGGGGCCTCACATTTTCTGACATAATTTTTTGGGGGATGCAGTTGCTCCTCCAACGCATAGTCTCTCCAGCAGCGGGTGGCTGCTCCTGGATAAGGGACCAGGCATCACCAGCCCCATCCCAGCCATGGCAGAAGGGTTCTGTGGGACGTGGTTTCACAAGCATGGGGGTGGAAAGCAGCCCAAGCCCTCCCAGCCCTCCATGGGGAGGAAACAGGAAAGCGATTTTGATGTAGCCAAGTACTTTAATTACTCCTCCCCCAGCACTGCTAAATTCCCAAGTGCTGAGCAGTGTTGTTCAGATTATTGACCCGAGAGGTGCCAAAATGTTCTCAAGTTCCTGTGTACAGTTCTTAAGGGAAGATTGTGAGAAAAAGTCCAGCTCTTCCAGTGGGATTAAGTTCTCAATCTGATGAAAAATGGCACACCCCAAATTATATGGGAATTTTTGAAAGATACTTTGAGTATATAAGCAAAGCAATGAAAATGAAAAATTTCCATTTGGTGTAGTATCCTGGCAGAAGCAGAGGGTACCCCGGTTTGGCTTCCCATGTTTTTAGGATACCTTTAGGATAGAAGCGTTACAGAAATGCGTAACTATTGCATCATGGCCAGTGCCGTGTCTCTGACATCCAACAAGCAGGCCCAGATGATCCACCATCGGGTTAAGAGCATTGGATGATCATTCAGGAGATTCTCTTTGTTCAGATTTTGGCTCCTTCCCAAGCTTTTCCCCAAAGCCCCAGAACTACAACTCTGTTCATTTTTGAATACTTGGCAGAAACTTAGTTCTTGCCTTGTGAACTGTAAACCAGCATTACCGGCAATGAGCTGTTTTCCCCGTTCTTCCTCCCTTTCTTTCACTTTGCCACAGCAGGCAAAACACATATAGTAACTTTTACTTAAAGGGAAAACAGTGGTGTGGGGTTTTCCTGTCTGTCTGTCCATCTCTTGCGGGTGTTTGTAAGGCCCTTTCAACTGTGATATCTGAAATATGTCAGATGGCATGAATGCCCGATCCTCTTGAGGCTGATAACTGAGTAAATAAACCAGCGTATTTCTTACACCGAGCGGCTGAGCATTCCCGACTCTGCCATTACACCATTTTGTGCTGTGTTTTGTCTTCAAACAGATTTAACTTCCTGGTTAGAGAGCGCTCGGCTACCAAGATTCAGGGTTCAAAAAAAAAGGCTTACCTGCAAAATCAGTTCAACCGCCAGTATATCTCCGGGTCTTGGAGGGGATGGTTTTAAGCTAAAGTGGTGTGTCTGGATGTCCTCTGCCTAGTGCGGACAGGGCTCAAGGGCTGCTCTGCTCCTCTTCAGGGAAATGTCTTTTCCTTCAACTTGCTTTCACCCGCCTCTGTCAGATTGCAAAAGCTGGAAAAAAAAAAAAGGAAAAAAAAAAAAAAAAGGCAGAAGGGTGGAGCATGAGAGCTGGAGTGAGCAAGCAAAACCAGCAACACTGACTCCACAGGCACACAAAACCCGTTGTCATTAGACCAGAGGCTGCTTCACATTTTCACCTGTTTCATGCTTTCTGCAGGGGCTAGCGTGGGCTGTGACTAAAAGGGTTTGGGTTTTTGCTTTCCGTAGCCAGCTGAATGCACTCAGGTAATAGACATATATTTTTTCCCCCAAGTGTTAGGTTACTATTTGTTTGGGAAGGAATCCTGTATGCATTCAATCTGAGAAGTTTTCTGAAAAGCAGCAAGATTTTGGCACTGTAATTCACCCTTCACCCCAATCAGCACACACAAGAACATCAGCACTGCCTTTGCTTAATTTGCTCTCTGTCGTTTATGTGCAATTTTTTTATTACAGGAAGTTTCAGACAATGTAAGAAAGCACTGGCATAGCAGTGTGTCTTCTTTGGTCTTTGCCCACCAGTAGCACCTGAGGATGTCGTGGTGGTGACAAAGGTATTGGCAACGTGAGGACTATGGAGTGCTGACACTTAGGGAGCTCCACCTTTTCGGTGTATTTCATACTGGTTTTGTACCTCCAAATTTTGCTTGCATTTTGCCAAGCAGAGTCTTATGAATTCTCTCATACAGCTGGATTCTTTCCTGTTAGTTCCCTCACAGCACTTCCAATCCTTCACGTTTAGTATCAACAGCAAGTTTTGTTCAAACACTGATTTATTGGAATAATTAGCAGAGATAATAAATCAGACCGAACAGAGAGGTTTGTGGTAACCTATTGCACAGCTCTACTCCCATATCAAAATTTGGCTCTTTATCTTCCCATCAGTGGCTGGTGATCAACCCCACAAGCAAGAACCCATGCCCGAGCAGAGAGGAGCCGAGGGGAATGGATTGCCTGTCCTTGCTGGGCTCCTCTGGGCACATCCAAGTTGGTACAAAGAGGAAGTTCATATTCCTGGGTGGATCTTGCTGTATATGGAAAATCCCTTCTCTTCCCACAGGCTGAGCACCCCTCATTTGACAAAGAGAAGCCAAAAGCTGAGCACGCAGACCCACAGTCCTGGTGGGAACAGTACCGAAAAGAAGCCCATGGACCCATCGACGTCCGGTGTGCGAGGAGACCCAGCCGTGCTCCTTGCCCAGGGTCATTTGCGACCACAGATGGTGCCAGAAGTGGACCCTTGCCATGCTCCTTCAGGTAAATGTGTGAAGTGGTTGGGGAAGCTGTGGAAGCTCCATCCCCGTAGGTGTTTAAGACCAGGCTGGATGGGGGTTTGAGCAACCTGGTCCAGTGGGAGGTGTCCCTGCCTATGGCCAGGGGGTTGGAACTCAATGATCTTCAAGGTCCCTTCCAACCTAAACCATTCTATGATACTATGATTCTGTGATCTGTTCCAGCTAACTCTGGGGTCCCGTTAAGACACAAGTGTGTTCTAACCAAGTAGAAGCAAAACCCATTTCTCCCGCTACTTTGACACTCAACTTTTCTCAACTCCTCTCCCTATAATGTAGCTTTGATATTGGGCATTTTCTTCCCACGTCTTTCAAATTCTCATCCCAACTCACTGTCCCGTGCCATCATTCCCGCATCGCTCCCCCATCCTGCACATTTTGCTCCTCAAGCCACTAAAACCACTCACTGTCATTCTCCCCAGGCGTGCCCAGGGCCATCAGAGGGCAAAGCTCAGCCAATGAGTGCTAAAGGTAAGAAAAGGCTGATCTTGACCCAGGAGCCTTGCTGGAGCCTGTTTGCATTTCAGCTCCGTGCCAGATCATTGGGGCTAATTTCAGGCTTGGTGGGGCAATAAACTGCAATCCCGGCCGCTGGGCAATGTGGCCACGATGTGCCTGCACCCGTCCCCAAGAGCGGCAAAGAGCAAAGCCCAGCTCGGGCCAGCTGGGTTGCAGGGAGCGTGACTGCGGGGTGAAGGTGCAAACGGGAATGGCCTTGGAAAGGACATTGCTATCTACCTGGGCAGTCTAACACAGTTTCCCAGCATTAGCAGGAGCTGAAGCTGGTTGAGCTTTTTCCAGATGACCCTCAATGTCATTGCACTCGCTTTTATTTATTTATAAATTTAAACTGCAGTCAGCATTTAATTTATTACTGAAATCCTTCTCTCATCCTAACTCTCCTGAGAGGCTGCATCAAATATCCCTCCCTGCCCATTTTAAGAGTATTATACACTGCAATTTGCCTCGGGAAATAAAAGCATAAGGTGCGCTGTTTTGGGGGCAATAGTCACGTGTCTGCTCGCTGTTAAAGAGCTCCCCATTATAACAACCTCTGTGATGGGCTGTATAACCAAGCAAGGTATGGTATGGTATAGTATGGCATGGTATGCTATGTTATGTTATGTTATGTTATGTTATGTTATGCTATGCTATGTTATGTTATATTATATTATATTTATTATAATATATTATATTATATTATATTATATGGATGCTTAATATACAAATTATATGGTATTCTACTTAACTATCTGGTTTTGGTGGGGAGGAGAGAAGAGAGACTTTTAAACTAATAGAACAATAGACGTGTTTTAAATGGAGTTAGTATAAAAGCTTAAATACTTATACAAGGGCAGATTCTCCCATCCTACAGAGCTCTGAGGCACCAGAAAATGGACCGCTGCACACGCTGAGCCAAGGGGATGGCTCTAGCCTTTCATTTCCAAGGGAATTTAATAGAAGTAGCCTGCCCTAATACAAGACAGGTAAATAATATTAACGGCCTGTAAACATATTCATAATGTCAGAACTCACTTGTGCTTTATATTCATTACCTTCCTTATGTAATTATAGATA